TTAGCTTCTATATTCTCCCGGAAACTCCAACTTTTTCCCTCGGGAGTCGTGATCGAGTCATCCATCGTAAAATTTGTTTTCCAGGCGAAAACCTCGAAGCTAACTCACATTGAGACGAGATTTATTTATATTAGAGTTAGGAACTTTTGGTGTCCCATAAAAATTCCTAAAATTACGTAATATAGGGTGGAAGATAATAAGTCGTTTTATTTATCAAGAAAGTAATCGCTCTGTTGAAAAAAATTCTATCCCACAAAACGTGTTCTTAAGCACTTAGATGTACCTTGCTGTATCATCCGACACGTTTCGGTGATCTAAGATGCGCCGTTAATAATACATTGCGATTTCCTTGATTAAGCAAATGGCAAAAATACCTTTCGAAATTTTCTTTTCATAGAAAACAGAACGAATGAATCTACTAATTTTGCTGCTCTCTAACCACTGCGAAGCGATAAATTGCGGTACCAAAACAGCTCGAAACAACTTAATTAAATTCAACACAGCTGTCAATATAAAAACAAACGTCGCCAACGTACGTATTTAGAAAAATCTTCACCGACGTCGATCAAGTTCCTCGACGTGTTCCACTTCACCTTAACCCGTCATCCCAACTCCTAACGTGGCTGATGGATCTTGCAATCCACGTCCTAACTCTGGGAAACCCCAGACTTTCCAAAATTTGACGACCAAGATTTCCACGATGATCGCAACTGTCACAATCGGTGACAGGAAATCCGTGACTTTTGGTACCGAGCATCCGCAAGAATTCGCGTCGACAGTGAATTTCCTTGAAAGGCAAAAATATCGATAGCGGTTCTAGGATCGACCAAGACAACCGCCATCGACCGGCCTGAACGTTCGAACTGTTCCTCGGACCTTGCAATCACCTTCCGTTTCCGGCAATCGAGCAATCCAATCCAACCTCCGGACGTCCTAACTCCTCGTCGGCGCCGATCGAGGACGCTTTCGTCGGCTTCTCGAGTCAATTCGACGCCACCCGAGAGGATTTCCCCAAAATTTCCAGGAAGTTAAGAGCGTTACGTGTCGTCGAGCTGTTTAATCGAGGGTTTTCCGTCGCCTCTTACACGGTCTTGGCACCGACCCCGTACCAACTTCGCCCCAACCTCGCCTCAACCACGCCTCAACCTAGCCTCAACCTAGCCTCAACCTAGCCTCAACCTAGCCTCAACCTAGCCTCAACCTCGTATGTGGCCAACGTAAAGATCCTCTAATGACACCGATTAGTGAGACTTCGCGGTTGCTTGAGGTGCAATGAGAAGATTAAATAAGGTGCTCTTTCTACCCCGTTTTCATTAAACGAATTAGGGTTCTTAGTGTCTAATGAGATAATGGATTAAGACTTTTAACATTTGTTATTGCTTTCGGAGTAGCAATGGGAAGACTTGATAGCTCAGCCTTAGTGTGACGCTTGAAATGAAACGTGAACAAAGTTGTTTTAACTCCGCTGCAAGAAATTCGTTAAAAAGCTTAATACCATGTAAGCTACAGCAGTAGGACCTTAATCCATAAATCCAATGTTCGCTAATGTATAATCAAACAAAAATAAAATAAATGTTTATGCCAGATATCTTATGTACGTATACAATATATACTTGTTCCGTGTGGGATGCTCGCAAATCTTACATTAGATATCGCAGCGACCACCCCCGAAGCAAAAGGAACGCGCAATCGATCGCTCGCAGACCGAATCCCTCTGGATAAATGCGAGGTTAACCTGGCCATGCCCCGACACCCCAGCTACCTCCGGCTACCTCGAGATGAATACGGGGTCTAGTATATTTAACCGGAAGGTCGCACCTGGAACCCGGAAGAACGAGACGACGCGCTCGTTATCCCATGGGATTATACGTGTCCGGCGGGTTCCCGGTGCTCGTGAATTCACCCGCGGTGGACAGTTATCTTTTTCACGTCTCTTGTCCGAACGATCCCACGCAGAGATATCCAACTGGGTGGTAGCTTGCGAAAACAAATCAGACGCATGTGTCGAAAGCTTCATTGCGATTAGACACGGACATAATTAGTACATTTAAGATAACTTATCTCTGCTGAAACATCGCTTTTATTCAATTATTTTAAACTGTTATCTTTTCCCTTTCAAACTAGAACATAAACAACCGAATTCTGCTCCAACAACCTAATTATTAGATGTCAGCAAGATTAATAACAATGAATGATAATGGTGTTAATATTTTTCAAATTTTAGAAAATCGTGCTAACGGCTAATAGTGGACGGAATCGATAGATCGCTTAAATGAATGTTCATTTTAATTGAAAGTATTTCTTATGTCGATAAAATCCGTAGTCGTTTAAAAAATTCACGTGAAACGTGCCGTTTAACGGAAGGCCCTCAAATCATTACAAATTTAACTGTACATTATCCCATGCTTTCAACAATAGTAATTACTGTATATTTATAACAGTTAATATATTCTTATATTTAACAATTTTACGATCTTACGTATCTCCCTTCAATTTCTCAAACAACATACGTAGGTTAATCATTCTCCAATCAGCACAGCGATACAATCCGTAAACCTCCTAACAAGCATATGGAAACATTCACTTTGTCGCAGTTTCGGATTACCCGTTCTTCTGAAATCATGTACATCATGAATAAAATCAGGAATGTCCAGCCCCCCAAGACCGCCATTTGTAAACATTAAAAAATTCTCTTTTTATCTTAAATTCTCCATAAAACAAAGTAAAACAGCCCTGTAAGCAAATATTTCATTCGTTTAATTTCAGTATAATTAAAACGCATTTCGCATCCTGCTAACCCCCTTAATTGTCAGCATTACCCGTTCTGCCGTGAAGTTCGCATCTATTAAGGAACTCGGTACAGTTTTGCGCCAAATACATACATGTTATATATAACTGGTCAACTTCATGGTGTGTGTGTGTGTATGTGTGTGTGGCGCGAAACTCTACCGAGTTTCTTAATAGATGCGAACTTTACGGTAGAACGGGTACTGCTGACGATTAAGGGGGTTAGCAGGTTGCGAAATGCGTTTTAATTGTATGTACATATATACAGACACGTCTTAGTATCCTAGAATAGGTATACGTTTTTTCTGCGTACTGTCGGAGACCCTTTACCTGTACCAATAATTCCGCGGCACGCCCAAAGTTAGCCAAATTAACGAAAAGAACCGCATCCAGAGGCGAGCCTTCAGGAGTCTCGTTCGTTATCCCTCAAGATTAGTTGCTTCCGGAATTCGGGCGAAACGGTCGTTATCCCTTTTCGCGCGTCAGTCGTGCGCGCGACCGCCGCGAAAGAGGTCCGGCCATGCGAACTTCCTTGAAAGATCGCCGTCCGAGTGGAATCGCCCGACCGAATTGGTTCCCGTCGAGGGCCAAGGGTCAGGGGTTGGTGGCTGGTTAGGTTGAATGGCTCTAACGAGCGACCCGGACACGCGTACACCCCGGGCGCACCGGTACGCCCCACGACAAAGGTCCTAACGCAATCACACCTATACGGACCTACATACGAAGCGGTGGAACGTTTTAACGCGCCAAACGCACCTTTCTACGCTGAGCAAAAAAACCACTTTTTAGAAAAAAAAGAAATTCCTGCGTCGAATAGGTTTCTACTGGGTACCATTAACAAAATAAAATGACATGAAATTGAGGCAAATTACAAATAGTACAGTTTTTTTTTTAAGCGCAGCTTAGAGAAATTTGACTCAATATAGTTATATTTTTTGCGCATAAACATGTTAAAAAGGAAAGTTGTTTCATTCCGAAGAGGGATAAACTTTGATAGAATGAATCATATTATTGTTAGAAAGTGGAATTTAATAGAGTTGTCAGGGTATCTGATATTTTTTCTCGAACCTCTAACAGTTACCGGTGAATTAATTCTTGCATCAACGTCTAAGAACATTTGTTCGGCATTCGTGATTTTTGATATTAAGAACTAGATTGTTTGCGTTCGGTACAACATTCCATCCAGTACGTGATATCATTTTCATTAATATTTTCAATACTCGACTAATTTTGTACATAACTTTTTTTCCGTAAAATCATTTCCGCTTAATGTTAACTTGTCATCATTCGGATTGCACTCCCGATGATCGATGGCAAATTTGAAAATTGAAAAGACCAACAAACAGGAAAATACTAAGTTTGCCCCAATATCTCAACGTAATATAAATAGAAATAATGATTAATACATTTGCTTCGTGTATAGAACGATTTAGCGTTTTAATTTTGTATGTAATCTTTGAAAAATTATACAATCATTATTTATTACAAATTATGTATTGATTTGAAATTTATCTATTTACAATTATTATGTATTACTGCGTAACTGCGATTGGAATGGAATAAATTATGAATTTTCGAATAGCTCCAAAATCGCGTACTGTCCCGCTAAATTGGCCATCTTGTACTTTCTTGAGCTTTCTGGCGTTCGGGATGTCAACGAAAGTGTATTTACATTTCTGTACCTTTCAAGTAAAGTGTAGTACACTAAATATTATCTGTCGAATACATTATAAACGTTTTAAAAATATTTAAAATCAAAATGACACATTTTGCTCCCATAATAAAATAGGGCAACGAAAATCCGATAATAATCACGAAGTAAAAAATGTATTTTTATTATACGTTCATAAATTGAAAAATATAATTTTTATTTATGTAATTATAAATTATTGAAACTAAATATGTCATTGAGATATTCAACAAATATTTCAGATATCTTCGAATGAAATCTACAAGAAATCTTAAAAGATCCTGTCGCTCAAGATATTTAGCAAAGATTACAAAACAAATATTTAGAAATTATTCTATGCTATTAGGGAACTTATGGGCGCCATCGGTACGGTTATCGACTAATCTACTTCTACCATCACCCTGCATCTTTGATCGCAACCCATTGCGCCACATCTCACCCCATCCACATGTCATTCCTGGCGGACCTAGGGTCTGCGAATCGTGCGAAATCTCTATAGAATCGAACGTTACGTTTGTTCCAGAGGTGACGATGTGCAGCGATCGATCGAGCTTCTGGACAAAGTGCTCTCAGAGTACGACGAGCACGAGGCCGAGGGCGAGGGAGGCGGTGGCGTCGGGGGCGGAGGCGTCGGGGGCGTCGGAGGCGTCGGAGGCGTCGGCCCTGGCGATTGCGGCAGCAGCACCGAGCCCAGTATCGGTCTCACGCCCGACGACGAGAGCCCGTCCTTAGGTTCTCAGTTTCTGTCCTCGTTATACCCCCTCACCTCGGATAGGGGATTTCCCTTACCTAGAGAGATGGTTGAGCTTTAACGAAGATGCGATTTCAGGCGTCTGTAGCGCAACCTAATACGTTGCTAATTCGAACAAAGGCACTTTGCGACACGATAAAGACAAAGGTTATACTTTAATAAGCGAACCTTAGTCCACGTTGTTAAATATTTTCTTCCTCGTAAATAAATATTCGCATTGATGCAAAGTGATGCCAAGTAAATCGGCTGGACGGGTAGATTTTTTATTTCTAGTCTTATTTCCTCATTTATGTGATTCCGGAGAAATGTAAAAAATTGAGGGGAAGTCTAGGCAGGATAAATGAAGCTGGAGGTAAGATAGGAAAATGGTGAAACTTGCTCGCGGGATGTGGTTACCGTGGCGAGGATGGGTTAACCTTCTCTTCAGTATGCGGGAGGTGTCGCTTTATCGTTTTTATATTTTTCTACGTTCTCATTTCCGAGGATGAAAACGCGGTTTAGAATCTCAATTTCTGCCCCTGTTATGGTTCCCTCGGTACACCGCGTGGCAGAATTTCCGTACACGGGAAACGAGGGATAATGACGATTTATTATGCGCTGTATAGAAATGACGCTTTTCTAGTATTTTCACAGCTTACAAGAATATGGTAGAACAAAGATGGTAATCTACGGTTGATCTACGAATCGCAAAAATCTATCAGGTACCCTCTCATCCAGATCGTGAAACATAGGAGCAGTTATAAAGGACATTTCCAATAAACGGGAAAATTTATTCAAAACGGTGTCCCGTCGAGTGTGCTCGACGTCGCATCTCGCCGCGACGGCCAAATTTCTCCATTCTCTCGGGATTACCGGGGAATCCACTCCGGCGAGACAGGAGACTAACTCGGTGGAACAATCGCTGGTTCGACTCTTTCGGTTTAAAGAACAGACGGCGTCCAGACGACGATATGTCGCGACGCGTTGATAGTCATCCGGACCGAGAACCGGAAACCCCAGAGAGCATAAATCTGGACCCCTTGTAACCGGGAACTCACCCCTTCGCATTTCTAGGGACTCGCATTCCCAGAGGCCAGAATTCTCCATTCGTGCCCTAACGGTTGAGCTATATTTTAATAAATACCTCTGCAATTTCAGTTAACAGGTGTTAACGATTAAACGGCACAGTGCCAAAAATGACCATCCCTTTAAGATAAAAAATTCAAAGTATGCTTAAAATATAGAATTAAAATAATTAAGGCACTTTAAGTGGCATCGATGTCATCCTTCCTTGCAGGATGTATCATTTAAAATTGGTGATAATCCTTAAACATCCTAATTTTTATTCCAATCTGTTCCAAGAATAGTTGTACCTATGCTCAAAAGAACGCTTATATGATTCATTTAAATATTTATTTGTACATGAACCTAACTGGTACCCTCAACTTTCACTCCTGTCCATTACACTATACATCTTTCTTAAATATACAAAGATCAGCGCGAACACTACAAACTATATCCCCGGAAAGGATCGCGTGGCGACAGAGATCCTGAAATGGCCGAAGAATATTAATAGCGACAAAGGATGCCAAATTAAGTCTTTTTTTTTCCCCTTTAGATTCGATTGGCCAATAAAATCCATATGGGTGATTCGACGGATTCGATGTACCCCCTACCCGAGGGAATTACATGTGATTGGGCGCCTTGCTTCCCTTCCTCACCCCGAGCAAATGACGCCTGATTGCCCAATCGGGTTTGCCCTCTGACCCCGTAAAAGGCAACTTCCCAAGAGCAGTCGCCCGATGACATGGGAGCCTCAAAACCCTAATGATTATGCAAACCGAAATGCTTGCAATACATCAGCAGAATCACAAAGGAAGTGGAATCTTCACCACGGTAGCCAAAAATTGCATAATCTATTACACTCCGTTAACAGAGTGCAGCTTTCCATTTGCATCGAATAACCTCGCAAAATCCATATTATTTCCTTAAACCAAAACCCTCGAATGGCAAGATTTATTTAAATCGAGGGTCTTCCACGTTCATTTACAAATAAGTGCCTATGTTAGGATAGCGTCTTTGCAACTAGACGTTAAGATGAACACGAGCCTCATTAGCGTTTCATGTCTGATCCATTCCCGATGTTCGCCATATTCGGCCTGAAAGTCCTCTTTTAGAAGCCCGATCGCGCAATTTCGTCGCAAGGAATTCCTTGTCGCGAAAGATGCCTCCTTCGACGGCGTCGCGCTCCACCAGAGGGTACGAGGCGCGTGTCTTCGTCCACGGAGGCATTTCCCGAAGGAGCTTGGCCTCCGCGCCGGTAATTCGCCCTCCTAACTAGCGGTCTCCCTCGGGAACGACTGCCTCCCGTCGCTAAGACTTCCGCATTCCCGAGACCCGAGACGGGCTCTCGAGACCGGAACGCTTCCTGGCCATCCGCCAGCCCGCTTTCCGCGCAGATTCAACCTGGCGCACATTATCCGCTCCCCCTTCCGTTCTCGTGCGATTTGCGGGCCTCGGTTTTGGATTCCCCGAATCTTGGGGGAGTTATCGCCGGGACGATCGTTCGCCACGAGAAATGTCTTCCGATATACTCCGGAGGGTGCCAAGGGCTTTTCATGGAAGATCCACGGGGCCGTTGATAGGATCGTTTAGAACCGATCTGCAACTCCGTAAAATCAAGTAGTTTCCTAACACGTGTCAAGGTGGAGAAACTTCGAGATAATTTCAACGGGATTACATTTTATGGCGATAGAGATGACAGTTAATCCAAGTAATTTGTCAGCGATTGACTTCAATTAACCCCTTGTACTCTGGTGCATCCTCAGCCGGGCAGTTTTACCAGCTCGAAAAGAATTCCCAGCGCAACGGATTAAGTAATTACGGGCGGCGTTTCTCTATCCGACCATCGTCAGGCCCAAACGACCTAGGAATCTAATCCTAATCGTCCTATTCTGCGATACTGCTACAGGGCACCAGTCCGAGGACGACGGATACATGAGCATGAATGGAAGGAAAGCGAAGATGGCGCTGGTGGCCCTGCGTCCGGTCCCGGACTGTCCGGAGCCACAGGATCCCGCGGGAGCGCCGACCCAGGAGTTCCCGCCGCCCCCCGAGGAGGCCGAGCGCATCATCTCCACTCTCCTCCCCATGTAAGTCCCCGCTAAAGCCCTCGTAGGGAGTAGCGCGATTACTCGCAACCGCGACGAGAGGGCAGCCGTTCCGGAAACGAGAGGTCTCCAATTCCCTCGCCCTCGATTTCGATTAATTGCGCTCATTCGGGCGTTCGAGCTTCACCGTCGAGGGCCTCGTTCCGCTCGGATTTCTGGAGACCCAGCTCCACGGCTGGATTCCGCCATGTTGACGTAACACCGCCCGGACATTCGATCGGGGCATGGCTCGAGTGTTTGCCCAAAAGCTTCGCGTTATTTTCGCTTTGCGTCCCGCGATTGCCGGGTCTTGAACTCGGCAAGGTTAGGGAATCGATTCTACCCCAACCCGGACGGGGACGTACGGGCACTTACGAAAAAGTACTCGGTTCTTGCGAGCCCATGTGCACGCGAGTTCGTAACGTACAATACAACTCGGAATACCCAACGATCGAACTCCCGACTTTATCCTGCTCTTTTTGGGCTAATTTCGCTTGCCAGAAACGTGCAAAATATTTTCACATTCATCAAAGTTAGGTAAAGCAATATTGGTATCTAATCTTCCTGGAAAAGTGATCGTATTCAGAGAAAATTCAGATAGTGGGATTAAGTAGTGCCCTCCAACAGGATATCCTAATTGGGAACTCCCTTTCCGCTCCAATATTATCAGAGAACCTTTTGTTGGGTGCAACCCTAATTGCAACGTCAGAATTCCGTGACTCAGCTTCTAACATTTAGACATGCGGCTCGTAAAAAAATTTCGTCTTTTCGACATTCTACCGTGCTGCTAGGACCCATCGTGTTTTGGCACCACGTTTCCAGATTTTGCAAAGATTGTAAAAAAAAGTGCACGTTTCCAAAAATCATGGCGTCTCCTTGGAGGTGATGGAACTAGGGGTCAACCGTCGACAAAGAGATGGGATCCTCGCCCGTTGTTTGGTTGATATCAGCTCCTGTCTTTCACATCAGGTGGACAAAACGGAACTTGTGAACGCCCAGCAGCTCACTGCACCAAAAAAATTCTTTTTCGGGTTCAGTCCTGGTTGTGGTATTAGAATTTTTTTTTTTCTAAGTCTCAGTCACTTGGGGGATTTGTCCACGTTCACCCACTTCTCTTTGCCGGTCACCAGATGTTCCGACTAGCTTCTCGTTCACGCGGGAGCTGGGACGGGACATACACAAGACGACACGAAACTGCAGCAGCTCGGGTGCAAGTTGGTACGGAATCCAGATGCCGTACTTCTAGGTTATACCAAGGTAGTAAAGATGTTTCAACCCTGCAACTTGGTCGCACTGGAAACACTTCGCCAAGCAGCGAGGAGTGGCGTGTCTCCGAAAATCATGTCGTCGTTTCGAAAGTGATAGAACCAAGGGGTCGACTGTCGACGGGGAAACAGAGTCCCATCTATCGTCTGGGTGATATCAACTGCTGCCTCTTGCACAGAAGTTCGAGATTCTAAGACAGAACTCGCAAAGGACAGTACTCGATGAGAGAAGAAAGGGGATGTTGATTTTCATTTCAAAGTGCATAATTAGAAAAGTTAAAGTGAAGTGAAACCTACCGCAAACCAGTCGATTGGAATAAGATTTTTTTTTAAGGGTATTCTTCGAACCGTCTGTAATTTTAGGACGTGACTCGTGAACATCTAACAAGGAAAGTATCTTAGGTCGATCTCTCCGATTTGATTTCTTTTATAATATGTTATAGTAGACTAAAAACTAAGCGACACGTATTTTTTTTTATCTGCCATTAAACACTTTAAGGGGGTGAGACCATCATCCAAAGTAAGGCCTGTGAGGGATGGCTCACCCCATAATATTTCTTTTTAATTGAGAGAATTATATTTTTAATTTCTCATTATGAGAAAGCTTTTTCAGGTGGATTGGTTAAAAAATATTATGTTCTTGTGGGTGAAACAGTCGAATCACCCCTTGACATGCCTTACTTTGGATGGTGATTTCACCCCCTTAAAGTGTTTAATGACAGATTAAAAAAAATACGTGTCGTTTAGTTTTTAGTCTACTATAACATATTATAAAAGAAATCAAATCGGAGAGATCGACCGAGATCGATCGAGGTAAGAATTAACAGTTAATTCAAAACAAAATTCGACCACATCACTTATAGCCGCCATTTGTATCAATATCTGTAGTCAAGTTGTGTCAAGCCAGAAGCAAAAATCAAGCGGAATCATCTCGTTACACGACCGAGCGATCATTAGTCGCCCAGTAAAGTTCATTAGCGGTAAAGCATCCAATTTCAATTGCACCAGTTTGTTCCATCGGAAGGCAAGACGGATCGATGGCTGATTACGAACAATCAAACTTTTTCTCGCCCCCAGCCCCTAGGAAGTAAATCAATCGTCTGGGAGGACCGATAACGGCGATGGATTTATTCTTAAGTCTGGCGCCTCCGTACCATTCTTCCCGGTATCTCCGACCAAGTCGTCTGCTAACCCGGGTATACATATCGATCCTCCTTATGTCCTAATGTCCTCATTCTTCGCATAGCGATCGCATAATTGCCCGGAATTCAATCCAATCGCCTATACGAGCGCGTACTTAGCTACGAACCAATTCGTCTCGGAAATTAGCAGATTTATCCAAGTCCAAATCGACGAAAAGAATATATATCCCCTCCGGATTAATGGATCGTTCCTCTTCGAAAATTCATTTCCCCCTCGTAAAGGAAATTCGCCCGGAGTACTTTAAGCTCGACGAAATTATCTCGATATGTAGAATAGCCCGATAAACGAAATGAGATCATTTCGTTATTGACAGAAAAGCCATTTTAAAGGGTAAAAAAGCGCTTCAAAGGAAAGCAAATCTCTTCGTCTTTTCACGCATCAATCTCCTATTGAATTGAAAGATGGAGAATGTCTCCTCTTCTTCGTGAACGATTCGTTGTGGGATTCTTGCTGTGTAACGACACAGACACCGGCTTTATTCGTACGTGATTGTTTCAGTTTACTGGTTCATACTTTCTGAATTATAAGAAAGTAAAATCGCTTTCAAGTTATTAATCCTCAAGTATCGTATCCCTTAAGGTGAAGTAAAACACGACGAGGAACTTGATCCACGTCCGTAAAGAAGATTTTTCTAAATACCTACGTTGCCGATGTTCGTTTTTATATTGACAGCTGTGTCGAATTATATTGGGTATTGTACTTAATGGCATACTCTATCTGTCGTTTCCGTACATTGATTACAATGAAATCAAAGTAGAACTCCAGAAATCCCCTGGATTCATGGTTTCTAAGGTCCTAATTGACTGCAGTGGGACCCCTGCGCCACCTGTAATTTTCGTGTCAACTAAATTTTTACTCCGAAACCTCGTATTGCCATCATTTTGGCATAGAAGCGCATAAGACACTTTTTTTGCGTTTATGCCGTTCAAATGCGAGTTCCTCGATTACCAGAGTGTTCTAAATTGTCGTACAATTGTCCTGACCCTTCTCCGTTTCTCATATCAGAGCCTTCAATAATTGTATATCGATCGAAATATAAGAACTCGACGCCATTTTGGTCCTAATCTGGGGTAAGTTAAAAAAAAATTTTTTTTTAAATCCAAATGTTGAAAGTATCAGGATAATCCCTAGGTGCTCACGAGTGACGTGTCAAAGTTTCAGACGGTTCAATACCCTTAAAAGAAAAAGTGTCTTATTCGGATCGACTGATTTGAGGGGGGTTTCACTTCACCTTAAGGTTGCAAAGCTATCCATTCATTGTATTTAACATATTCAAGGTCCTAACTAATTTCATTATTGCTTGACCAATAAAAATGTTTCTCTGTAATTTCTATCGAGAAATGAAGCAATTCATAGAAAATCCAGCACCTCTTATAATTAAACTTCATGATCTCATGGAAGCAAATCCAATTTCATAGGCGAGATATAAACCGTTTTGTTGAGAAGGATAATAGCTTTGATTTGAAATATATTATCTTGGTGCAAACACTCGGAAAACAATCTTGTAAAGTGTTACAAAGATAACATGAATTAGAAATATATACGGATCTATAACCGGACTTTCGCAACCGTCGCAAAACTTTCATCCTCCTTGTGTTCGAGACTATCCGTTGAAATCGATGAAGCCTCTCGATCCTACGCTCGCTGCATCCTTTTTGTCACTTTAGCGTCATCTTATTCGAGGCTTTGATCCGTTTTACAATTGGTATCTAGGAAGAAAGGAGCTCCTGTCTGGTCCCTATCGAGAAAGGCACAATCGTTGTCGAACGTTCCCTTGCCATTTTGCCGCCGTTGACTGGCCGTATTACGGCGCCTCTCTGGAAGGCTGAGGACTCCTTTCATCGGATACTGTTGGCGTCTCCTTTGTCATCCTAACTATAGTCCCGTTAAATAGATATTAATTTCCACGAGCAGCCGACTTTAATACCGTGATTGCCAGTAAATCCGAGAAAAGAGGACCTATCTATGGCTGTCGCTATGGATGGCCGAAAAAGATCCCAATAATTTAAATGGAGTAACAAAACACAAACGAGCGATCTCTGTACGTGGTATATAGAAAGGTTTAATATATATAAAGGAATGTATCTATAACTCAATGTTTGCAGGGTTTCTCCTGGAAACTCGTCAAAGAGGAATGCACAGCCTTCTGGACGTCGGCAACAACATAGTGGTCGGCAACAATGGATGGTTGCGATGGAGGAGGGTATACGTCGTGGGCATGCTGCCACCACACAGACTACTCTCGTAAGTATATTCGGGTAAGCTTATGAATCATGTAGCCATTATGTGATGTCGAAAAAGGAGGACGAAAGGTTGCTTTTCAAAGAAAATACCCACCAATGAAAGTTCTCGAAAGCATGCTGCTTGTTTAAGACGTGTTCTTTCTGAGTTTGGGCTTAGAATGGTGTAATATGTGCCGGTTCGAGGTGGATTCTTATCAATGAGAACGTAGAGAGAAACTTTAAGGTAGAAACTTGATAGATTTTAGGGAAAGCCACTTGTCCAAACGAGTACAGTCTGTCTGTTTCGCGAGAACCTTCGAATACACGATCCCCAAGTCTGGGAAACTCCGTGCAACTTCGATTGCCGATGCGCTCATGCGAGAACTGTCCCTTTCGTTAGCCCAAGACCAGACATCAGAGGCCCTACGGCTGGGAAAACGGAAACGTGGAGCCGTTCCATCTGGCGGAGCCACCCAGTCCTCCCAGCAAGTTCGCGAGTCTGCCGTATGACGGTAAGGTGTCCTTCAATTGGATTCCACCTAGAACCAACCCAAGTGCCGTCGAGAAACACCGAGAGGTGAGGCGACGCTCATCCGAAGAAGGACTCGACAAAAGACACCAAAGTCCCGACAAAGACCGCGCTTCGAATTTGCGCAAACAACGACAGAACGAGATCATGAAGTCCAGCAGCGTGGAAGACCGACTGCTAATGAACAGCCAAACGGAGCGCGAGTCCAGGAGAAGGAACAACTCGGACTCCAGTGAGGGCAGATTCTCGCGCAACTCGGAGTCCGAGAGGTCCTCCATTCCGAGGTCGAGTTCAGTAAGTGTCGAAAGATTCTCCATGAGAGCCAACTGCGACTCTTCGGACTTCTCGCGAACCAACTCGACCTCCAATGAGAGATTCCACTCGGACTTCTCGATAGCAGTAGCCAGCGCCAGCTCCAACGATCACGTTTCCATCCCCTCGTCGGATCCGTTTTCCATACGAAACCTTGACTTCTCTTTCTCTCTACCGCGGGCCGACTTCAGCGACAGGTTCTCCTCGAGGACGTCCGACCACTGTTCGGAAGAGCGGTATTCGGATATGTTCTCCACCCGCAACTCGGACCTGTTCACCAGAAACTCAACGGACTCTAGGACGCAGTCCGAGGAGGTGGAGCATTTCTCGGACGACTCATTGGAGGAGCTGCTCCCACCGATCGGTAAGAGGCACTCCATCGCCTGGGAGGTGTCTCTCGAGGACGATCCTCTCTATGCACCTGGTAGCACCAAGGTCGTGGGGAGGAGACGACGAAAGAGTAGCGACATGTCCAGTGAGTCTCCCTTAGTTAAAATTTCGATCACGTTCCGGCATCTCGTTGACACGCTTATTCCTAAGATGGTACCTGACTGAGTTGATGCTTTCAGGTGTGGGCTCTGCCTCGAAGCTGAGGGACTTCGACGACTGGCCAGATCCGCGTCTTTCGACTACGGACGACGACATCATCTCGCCGTACTCCGATTCCTCGACGAACGATCTGGACCAGATTCGTCCTCAAGATCTCACCAAGAACGGTACATATGTCATACGCCGTGGACGCAAGAAGGAACGCAAAGTCCTACCAAAGACTCCTACCAAGACGAAGAGTTTGTCGTTTGACAACTGCGATGAAAAGAAACCGGCGGACGGTAAGCGGTATTCCAGTACGTTTGACAACATCAAGAGCCTCTTAAAAGAGGGTAAGTTGGAAGGTCTTGACGAACCTCCCGAGGAATTCTCCGCCACGGTGCCACCGGATTTAATACGCGTGGTATCGCTCCCGGCCATCAACAACGACGCTGGAAACAGAGCTCAACTAGAGATCACCGTTGAGGAGGAGGAAGCGTCCGATATGTCTGACAAGGATAAGGAACGGGTAGACACGGAGATGCCGGACACTCCTCCTTCTCCCATCTTGGACGATAAAGCGGATTCTTTTCTAAGAAGAACCAGAGAGTGTAATGGTGTGTCCACCTCCATACCGATCTCCAAAAGCTTGGATGCCAAAATCCCAGTGAACCTCTTAATGGAAGATCAAGGCCCAAAGAAATCACCGAACGATCACCGTCTCGATACCAAAATTCCGGTGAACATTCTGATAGAGGACCAGATAGTTAAAAAGGCATTGAACGAAAATCGCAGACAGTTGGAGAAGGTCAGTGACGCTATTAAGGAGATCGAGAACGTGAAGAATAGCGAGTCTTATGAGAGCAAACGATGGAGAAACGGCGATGTCAAGACAAGCTCTAAAAGAAATAGTTACGAGAATGATTCCGATAGAAAGACTCTCGATACTTCTTTCGACAACCGACCAAAAAAACAGCACAGTTCCGATTCGGAAACATCGAAAACTAGCTCTGAAACCGATTTTGATAGGCGGAAACCTAATGGTAACGAGATTTATTCATCGGGAAGGAGGCTTCGGCAAAACGGGATTGAAAACCACAAGAACGATCAAAAGCAAATCGAGAATGTGATCGACGCCATTCTTGAAGACTCCAAAAACCCGGATTTTCAGGTGCGATTTTCCCGTTCTAACGTTCTACTTGTTATTGAATGCTGATTGAGTTTCTGTGTGGCACTTAACAGTGCGAAGTGATACAAAACAAAGCTGATATCAATAACTAGTCAATCATAGAATTAACGGAGCTTCGGGACGTCTTCATTATCCGTTACACCTTAATATTCGCAATCGTAACAAGTGATACCTTGCCTTATTAAGTATTACCGAGTACGCTTGTCATCTTTGAGTTGCTGTTTTGCATCCTTTAAGCCGGATACACATCTTATCACGTACGCGTACGAGGCAAGACGAAGCGAACGACTGTCTCGTACTTAGATGTGTAATGCGACAACGAACGAAAATGTCTGTAAAAATGAACAAGCATTTCAACGAATCGCATTCGAACAAATCGTGTGCCGGACAATTCGAGGCAGTTTATCGCGTTTCGATTGCACGCCCACAACTATATATTTGCCTTGCCTCAGATGCGTTCGTGCTCAGATGCGAACTCGATTAAAAATATTTCTTAAACAAATACACATAGTATCGGTGAAACGGTCATTGAAGTCTGTTGTCATTTATCACGATAATTAATAATAAAAAATATTCAAAACAATTACTATAAAAACTTCAGAACAGGAAAGATTGTTGCCTCTGCCTATGTAATTTCCGTCGTAAAAGATTCTCTGACATTTCGTTATTTTAATTGTTACTTTAGTATCTAACGAATCGACGTTATTGCTATGAAATAGTGTAACAGAGATTTTCACTGTCTCTAGGTTAACGTTGATGTGCTTGAATTTCCGCCTTTACCCCCTTCCCCTGTGGAAGAAGCTGATGAGGAAAGTTCTGACGTGGGAAATACTGCCGTGATATCTACAAAAACTAAAAGTCATACTAACAGAACAATGGAGTACAGACCTAGAGTACCACCTCATCGTGGACCTGTTGGGGACGCCAAGGATCACCAAGTGTCACTTAACACAAGATCAATGGACGCTGGGTTCTCCAGAGGTCGTCGTACACCTGCTGCGAATTCTAGACGAGAGGTAAGAGTCATTTCTTAAGGAATCAAGATATTTCGTTAAGAATGCAACGCCGGGAGACATGGACTGTCAGAAATGATACCTCAGTCATGAAAAACACAAATTTCAGTGCTATATACGCAACATCATACACATTATTAATCCATACTTATATGTGACTAGTAAAACTAATGTTATTAAGACTAATAAAACTAATGTTTCCTTGACTATCATTTGGCCACATATAAAAGAACCGTTTTGACATGTTTTATAAAAACCCAAAAGATTCAAAAACTCAACATACGCATCACACCAGAAAAGCTTTTAAAAAATGTCCGTCATAGCCATTAGGCGATACCCGATCAAACACCTTGCCCCGGCCGCAAAACTTAATTAATTTCATGTTAAAACCAAATGATTAACGAGCCTGGAAAACATAATTACCGTTTCGACGTTTTTTTATAAAAACCCTGAAGATTCAGAAACCCAATGTACACATCGGAATAAGAAACCTTTTAAAAAATGTCCGTTATAGCCGTTAGGCGATACCCGATCAAACACGTTGCCCCGGCCGCGAAACTTCATCAACTTCATGTTAAAACCAAATGATCAACAAGCCTAAAAAATATAATTACCGGTTGGAAATCGCGGAGCTTGGGAGATAGCAATTTGAGCGATAACTGGGCGCGTCCAGGGAAGTACAAACGAGATCAAAGCCCACCCTACCGAGGATTTGCCTCGCCTGCAGCAACCGAGGGATGGTATCAATAGATTTTCCATTATGTCCAGGGTTGCGCCCTGCTGGAGTCTGCGTGGCTGCGACTTTGCTTTTACCCGGTTCGCCAAAGCACCATTGAGACGTTTTTACATCGCACTCGAGCCGTCAATTTGCTGGCAGTATTCCGCACGAATTCGGTTTAATAAATAAACTGGAGGTCGCAAACGATACCGTCAAAAGAGCTCGCAGATCTCCCCGATCGGCGGCTTCGGGAAATCGAAGAATCCGAGAGCAGTGCTTCCGCCAAGGTCGGGAACGAAGCTGAACTTGTTTGCGCGAAATGCGATTGGCCTAGGACAAAGGGAAACCGGCGCGGAAGGAAATTGGAGAGGATCAATCGTCCGGCAATCGTACCGAGACGTCGTTAATCCCATCTGGAGACCGGGGAAGCTCCTCGAAACCGGAAGTGGATACGGGGATATGCCGAGCCAAAAGAGGCCGGATATCAAAGGAAAAAGAAGCCGGATGTTGCGGACTAGGAAAAGGGAAAAGTTAAGAGGAGAAGAGTAAATACGTCCCCTCAAGATGATCCCGGCTCGTTCCGTCTCTTCCTCCTTATCTCTTGATTTCGACATTTGTCGAAGAGGAGTCTCGGCTTCGAAGACTTACATCGCTCTTGGGAAATAAGACTCGCCCTGCTACAGTTTGGGTTCATTTTAACCCAACCCTTCTATTTATATTCTCTTGAAATGGCGAATATATAACTACCGCATTGCCAGTATAAGCACGCCGAGAATGACATCGTCAAGATGTTACTAGCTAACGGCGTTATCAGTTGAATGTGTTGTCTCGTAAAATGCGAGGATATTGGAGGCACAACTAGGGTTGTAAAGCCTGATTTTGCAACCGACAGGTACTAGTCGTGAACACCTTCGATGGACAACCCTATGCGCCAAATTAATATTGCGCAGTTGGTTAGGGTTGATGTGAAATAAATCATAGACTGAATTTAATGGATATCAAACAGAGTATATATTAATAACAAATTACGACACAGGTTAATCGTTGAATGTGGTATAAACGTTTGCGGAGTGCTGACAAATCGTCGCAAGAATTGGTACAGAAAGTTAATTGTGGACTATCTAACGGCTACTAACTATTCGGTCAAAAACGCTAAAAAACGCTAAATCCGAGGGGTTGGACCTATACCTTTAAGAGGTCACCAATTGGTTAAGACGTCAGAATGCTTAGCAAATTCCTTGCTGTGATTGGAGTACGATGAATTAAATTACAATAAATTAAGTTTCGTGCCATGTTACTTTAAACTTGGGCATTGTAAGCAATAACTGTAACTCAATGGCATAAAATCTTAAATAAATGCAAAAATTCAATATAAACGGGAGGAACAGCACTTGGATAAACAAACGGAATTGAACTAAACTAATTAAAGTTAATTTAAACTGCGCGACAGTTTATTCAGATGAAGTAAATTTAGAAATCAATCGGCAACGCAAACGAATGGGGGTCTGAATCCAGAAACAAATACCTAATTGATGTATATAAGCACGTGAATGGGCGACTACCGTACTACAGATTTTTTACCTAATCCATCGTTTGTTTGCAATTAAGATGATATGAAAGGCGCTGAGAAATTTCATCAACGTCGATCAATTAAAATTCATCTATACCCTCTTTGGTGTGAACGTCATTTTGAATACTCAAGTAGTAACATAAGTTGGCGCGCCACGTAACCGACATTTATGTCGTAATGATGAAGAGATCGATGTAAAATTGTCGAAATCCCATGAATTCATTATTCTAATGACTGTTTAGGACTAACGACGCCATCTGTGACGTTTAGCTGCAACTAAATTTTTGCTCTAAAAACACGTGTTAGCCACAAGCCAGGCCAGCATTCTCTTGCAATCATTGGTGCAAGTATTTTCCATATTTTCCCATCTGACTCCGTAACATTCCATTTCTACGGTACTTCAAATTGTTCGAGCTAGGTCCTGAAACTTTTCATTTTCGATTCTATACCTCCAAGAAGCATAAAACATCGAAAACGTGCACGGACGTCGCCACGTTAGTTCTACTCCATGATGAATAAATTAATATCTGATGAAAAATGAAATTTCGTAAGTTGCAGGACCTACATTAGGGCCTCCATGTTCCCGTCGTAAAATTTGAAACGAATCGGTACACCCGTTCCGGGGAATACTTTCCCCACCCATTTGACTCTTTCATATCACCTTAAAGATCCTTCACCAGTTCTCTCTTCAAACATTCCCACAAGCTGACACTTTCCTAGATATTTACCCCATTACCCGTTTATCCCGAATGAACTCAATCTTGCCCCAAAACGGCTCCAAACATCCGTACATAAGTCCGACGTAAGCTCGTTAAGAAAATGACCATCCCCGTAGCAACCCCCGGAAACTCCCAGTGAATCGCGGCGCACCGAACTTCCAAAGACTTCCCTCGTGCTCCTGGGCGTGCCTCCAGTAATTTAACGGAAATTAAACGTCATCCACAATGCGGTCTACCCCTTTGGCGGGGGAAAACCGGCGTTAAAGTCGAGGTTGCGAACTTTCTCTTTCGCCGCGCCCTGTCCGCCACACTTTGCGCGGAGTTCTGGGCGAGGGAATCGCAAGAGCGAAAGGGGTTCCCGAAGGAACTCCCCGTCCGAAGGAGCAAAAGGACTAGACGAGAATTTCGGAGAGGGTACATATCCATATCGAGATTTTTGCGGGCTCGCCGCGTCGCGAGGGGCACATTGTTTCTCGCACCCTGGCCGGGACGGTACTCTCTCCCAAGGGCGAGGCTCGCAGAGAGACGTCACTGAATGGAGGTCCTCCTGGCCTCTGCCGGCGGCTCCGATAAATAAAATATGGCGAGTGTCTACACGCCCCGTGCATAATGTAAACGCGCGATATACGGCACGATATACGTCTGCTGGGTCGGGGGGTGAAATAGGTTCCGTCTGTCTCTCTGTGCGCCGGTGCGCGTGGGTTGTGCGTTAAATCCCGATCCAGGGCATGTGCGTGCACTTTGCAAAAAGGGCCCGTGCTTTTGCGGAACCGTCGTTCCGAGTTTAGAGGACGCAGACGACGACGACGACGACTCGCCCTTTTGACCCCCTCGCCGCGCGTTTTCCCGGTTTTTTCTTCCCTTTCTGGGTGGTTCCCGTAAGGGAAGAGAGCCATTAACCTTTTAGCCGGGAATACCGAGAGCTCGGGACGCTCGGGATGCCTACGGCGAAACCGGGAGTGTCGAGCGAACCGGTCGGCGGGGAAATCGTTGCCCGTGCCACGTGCAGGGGCCCTCGTTCTCCTTGGATATAGACATTTTATTGGCAGTTGACAGCTCCTCTAACATTGTAAAATACCCTGGGGAGTGGATCCTCCGATATGCGTGGCTTTGCAAACTAAATTGATCGTTGTCTCGAGGAAAGTAAGGCGTACCTTCGCAGAACGACGTTCCTATTTTAGCGAGCATGGAAGATGCTTCACCCCCCAGTCTACGAGTTACCGTTTTAGACCTCTGGTATTGGTTATTCGAATATTTATTTATGTTTGAGGTGGTACTTTCGGGGAAGAGAGACATTGAGATGATATGAAAGGCGCTGAGAAATTTAATCCACGTCGATAAATTAAAATTCATCTATACCCTTTTTGGTGGTAACATCATTTTGAATACTCAAGTGGTAACATAAGCTGGGGAGTTCCGTTACCGACATTTATATTTATGTTGAAATCTTTTACAGTCCACGTTGAGAATTATACGAGCTAAAGCGTTCCATACATTATTTCGGTAAAGTAATAATGAAGAGATCGATATAAAACTGTCGAAATCCCGTAAATTCATTATTCTAACGACTAATTAACAATGACGTTAATTAAATCTCTTTTATTTAATTCGAGTCAACGGATTTACAAAACAGTAGATTGCCTGCAAGAACGGTCGAAATTTCAGAGATTACCACGTTCCTAGATATAAAAAGTTTACAAATAGACAGTCCATTATCTAACAACATTTAACTGCGTTAAACGTGTGCAAAGGCCAGCACCTTTCTACCGTTAAACAAAAGCAAATGAAACTATATAGAAAAAGGTTGGAATCGACTCTGGCTAGTTGAAATCGATGGTTAGACGCTACGTCGTGACACGAACCCCTCTGGGATTGCGGTTTCTTAGGGTAGCTCTACCCCATCGCCAATGGCCGTAACAGCCACGAGGGTGGAAAGATGTCGATCGTAACATGCAACGAAGAATCGATTTCTTTCGCGATTCACGACTGACAGGCTAAAGAGAACGTAGAACCGTTTATTCGGCCTCTAAAAAGTTTTTCATGGTACATAGACTGAACGCCATTAATTACTCGGAAAAAAATCGTTCAAACTTTTTATCGAGTAGCGTATTATTAAAAAAAATTCTCTACGTGAAATGTATCCACGATAAAAACACATTCCTATAAAAAAACTCACCGCGGACTTGCTCATAGTATACCGGGTGGAGCATTTAAATTGAAACATTGACATATCTGGCGAACAAAGCAGTTTAGAGAAAAAGTGTCGAATAAATGCTTCTTCATTTCGAGTGGGAAGTATAATGCCCATTATTTATTTGAAGAATATTTTCAAGGTTATTTCAGGGTCAACTTTATTTATATATTTATATATATTTTTTCTTATATAAATATCTATATATTTATATATTTATATATATATATATCTTACATACATTCAATAAACATTTATATACGGGTAAATACGAATATTCCACTTCGTGCGGTGCCTGGGTGATAATACCCTTTGTATCGCAGGCGAAACGTCGATAAGGCAATAAATTCATAATACACGGCTCCCACCAGAAGGCCAAAAGTATATATGATTTAGAAGTTCAACCGAGATTGATCATTTCGACAAGGATCTAATAGATCTTGACGAATCCTTGTCCAGTAATACTTAGTAGTTTCGTGTCTAAAATTATACAGTACTGACATTGAATAGTACAATGTTGAAATCGCACAAAAAGAATCGATTTTTCGATATCTTCGAGAAAAGGGAATCGAAGAGTTCGTCGAGCTTCGAGTTCGCGTTTCTTCCTGCGCTTGAGAAAACTTCTTTTCCTCGGACAAGCGCCGTACAAACTTTCCCAGACTGACGGATAATTAATGAGAAGACGGCGCCGGGCATACGTATTGGTAGCGCCCATCTTTGCTCCTTTCGAGCACATTGTGTTCATCTTATTGTACACGAAGGAGTGGAAAGAGGCCGAGACACGAGAAAAAAGGATAAAGGAGAACCCGGAACGGCGAGAGAATGTCAAAGGAAATCTTTGCTCAACCTCGTGGTGTCCTCCGGGCTTTCCTCTTCCTTCCGGCGCGGATATGCGAGATCTTCTCCCGCTCAAGGCAGACGCCTGAATACATATTTATGTTTCTAATTATTTAACACCCACGAGCACGCTCGCCGCCAAAGGCGACCCGTCGATCCCTTTTTCTCCAACTTTTCACCTCCGGTAAGATTGCGCACGGACGAATTACCATTGACCAATTACTTCCCCAAGGTAATGAATAAAGTTTCGCGCGACAATGCAAAACTACATAAAGGAATCGTAAGTTCACCATTTTCCTCCCCTCGGTTTTCCACCTCTCAACCGTACTGTACACCCAAACCTCAAAACTTGAAACCTATCGAAAGAAATTCCAATTATCCAAAGTGCGGTAAGCAGTAAATTAAAAGTTAAAAAGTCAACAAACAGTAGCGTTCGATATGTCATCGTTACGATATGTTCACCGAAGCGTTCCATATGTTATTTCAGTAAAGCAATGATGAGGAGATCGATGTAAAACTGTCGAAATACCGTGAATTCATTATTCTAACGACTGTTTAGGACCAACGTCGCCATCTGTGACGTTTAGCTGCAACTAAATTTTTCCTAAAAAAAACACGTGTTAGCCCCGAGACAAGCCAGCCATTGTCTTGCAATCGTTGGTGAAAGTATTCTCCACATTTTCCCATCTGATTCCGCAAAATTCCATTTCTACGGTATTCCAAATTGTTCGAGCTTGGTCGTAAAACTCTTCATTTTCTATTCTAAGCCTCCAAAGAGCGTAAAACATCGAAAACATGTACGAACCACGCCATGTTAATTTTAGTCCATAGCAAATAAATCAATGTCATATGAAAAATGAAATTTCATGAATTTTAGGACCTACTTTAAGGCCTCAATGTTCGCGTGGTAAAATTTGAAACGAATCGGTACACCCAATTCGAACAATACTTTCGCCAACGATTTCACCACTCAGATATATGTAGGCTGCCTTTTTCATATCACCTTAAGTGTTCAAATACAATTAAATAAAAGTAATATAATCGTCGGGTATCAAAAATACATAATACCGCAACAATTGGACCTACAAACGTTATTTGGTTTGTACCAACATTAAGATGAATTTATTATATATTTAATTGATCTGATATTTCCGGAGAAATGTCATATTTTGCATTAACACAATTATTTATCGGTCTATTTAACTAAAACATTCTATTGCCAATTCGCAATGCTGGGATCTAGACAAGAAATCAGACGTTATATAGATGAAATTCATTTGTACCTAGTAGGCTTTCTGTTTTCAGGAAATAAAAATTACATTAACAAAATCGGTTAACCTGGGGAAGATTAATGCGTGAACATACATTAACAAATCAACAAAAAAATATACGGCTTAAGTTGAGAACCTCCTTCTTTTTCGAGGTTGGTTAAACTTGCGGAGGACCATTTTTAATCGACAGTAGTCTATATGGGATGTAAAATGCTGTTTAATGATTCTCTCTATGCCCGGATTCGAACCCCTCGTCGATGTTTCCACGCAAATCCATATGGTAGAACAAATGAATTGGCCAATTACTTAATTGCGGGGGTGAATAAAGTTTCGCTTGATAATACTGAGTTGGACAAAAAACTGCACCTCGCCCCCTTCGCCTGGTTCCTCTCACCTAGTGTGTACCTATGCACTTGGAAGGGAAAGGCGTCTCGAAACGAAAGCAAAGGGGCAAAAGGCGTTTGTGCTTCGAGCGGCAAAGGCAAAATGCAGGTCCGGGTCCGTTGTACAAATTTATTCATAACCTTTTCCCGGGTTGCCCAGTTCAAAAGGAATAATTACAAGCGCCCGAACAAATTCCCGTTTAATTTCACTCCCCTGAGAAGGGGTTGTCGATTCTTCCAGGATTTCGAAGCGGGTTGGGTAGAACCAACAGATCTCTACGAAGTGGGCCTCTAAATGGACGCGTTTCGGATTTCAATAAGGTTTTCGCTATCGCGCGCCGTTCTTCCGACTCGATAATCCTTCGCCATAGCCATCGCCGGATTAAAAAAAGAATCACATCGGCTGAATTCTCCGGGTTCTGGCACCAAAACGATACCCAATCGAGCCGCGTTGAAACAAGTCAATTGCGGTTGTGCACCATTGCGATGAGAAATACGGCCGAATTACCTTCTTTTTCGTATCGATCGATTCTTGAGTACTGTCTACTGCTATCTATCGCTGCTAACAGCGAGCCTGTCCGAACTAGGCCTTAATCTTGTCGTTAATGCGATTTTCCCCACACGATCCTACACAGTTCACCAATTCAATCCGTATCTACTCACACAGACATTCTATACTGGGCCCATCTGAAAATGGCTCCTTAACAATGGAAGTTCCCGAAAGGATGGCATTGAAATTCAAGGGGGTTGCCCGAGGAACCATCTCTGTCCGCTAACTAACGCCGCCTCGAAGCCGTTACTTTCGATGCAAAACGATCCCACCCTGGCAATTCCAAATAAACAAAGCATCCTTATGCGTCTCGGTGCTCCCCTCCAAGAGGGATTACGCCGCCAACGAATTCCCTAGAAGGATCTCTAAAGGGGCGTGGAAAATTCGCAAGAGCTGACTCCGCCACTATGTAGATACCTACCTACCCGTCTACCTACTCTCTATGATATATGCTCTCGTATCGCCGTACCTTTTATGCTGATGCGCGTACATACATGAATAATTGCTTCCCGCGACGTACGCAAAGAAGGAGCGCCGATTTACCGTTCACACCTTTGTGGAAGGATACAACATACACTCGGTATCCTTCTCTGGCCAATCGTGGATTAAGAGATCAACGCGTTTCAAAGGAGCCTCGTTGCCATTTCACCTTTGCTTCTCTGTAGACTGTTATTTGAACGAATCGATTAAGGCGTGGCTCGATGTTGACGAATCTGCAAATGGAAAAGTGAAATTATGGTGATGAGATGTTAATACCGTGCATTAGATAAATGACCATCCCACCAACGCGGACGTTAATGATTTTTCTACCCTGGTCAACCTATGAGTGATTCACAGGTCAACCCCGCCTCGTGATTTTTCATCATTCTTCGGATCTCTTTTGGTCATCGCGAATATAAATTTGGTGATGGCCGCCTAAATGGACCGCCCAAGCAAATCTATATTATAAAAATGAAGGTCAAAATACCCCTCATTCACTGATTAACCCATTATCGTCCAACCCAAACCACCCGGCATAGAAACGTGAAATTTGGGGGGTATGCTCTTTTTGTAATATAGATGCTCACTACGAAGGGATGTCTCAACCCCTAAGAGGTAAAAACGGGTAAAATGTGTTTTTATAAATTTCTTAATATCTCTCAAGCCCGCTGAGACATCGATTTGGTTTTTACCTTTAAAAAGTACACGTACAAATGCCTGGACATATCGCAAGCGAAGCCGCAACGAGGCATACTAAGTTATTCTATACATGCGATATGGATGTGTTATCAAGTAAATCTATAATGGTACGTTGGATTCGATCGATAACGCGTTGTACTTTGAATTGTTACCGCATTGAATATCAACACATCATAATCCTTCACTGTTTATTTCTAGTTCTTGAAAGCGCAAAGACTGTTTTTTTTCTTGTTTTCTAGTCCTTTAAAATATCAGTTAAAAATTCCTCCAGTATCTCTCCCTTTCCTTTATTTGCAGTTATTAAGTTTCTCGTTCTTCACTGAGGATTATTCTTTGATCCTGTTCATTATCCAAGCAAAAGTACACACAGCAAGCACTAAACTCGCCTACAACGAATAAGATTTTTTTTCTGGAATTTTCAGTATTTCCTCTTCTCCAACTCCCTCTTGTTTAATCCTCTGCAAAGCACAGAATTACTTAAAGTAAACGAGAAAGCGCTGATATAGTCGTAGTGATGGTACTTTTTGTTGAAACTCAAAATGAAGAATCGGACCCTCTAGGTGACTACGTTGGCGTAACGCCGATGGTCTCCATAACGCTTTTCACTTTTAATTGTTATTACGGACATTACTTAAGACGTTTTGCGACAGTGAGACCAATAAAAGTTGGCCCAAGATAAAGTGGAAAACTTTCCTCGGGGATTCACCCTGCGCGAACATGAGCCAGGTCCGCTGTGATAATAATGATTTATGAGGCAATAATTATCCATCCAGAGGTCCGTGGGTATACCCTGGGGTTTCCCTTTTTATTTGCATTGGTCCCCCTTTGTAACAGAGCTTCGTGCAATTTCGTTGAAAGCGCATCGGGAGAGGATATCGAGAGCAATGGTACTCATGGGGCATTGTTCTTGATTTACAGCCCTCGTATGTTGCTCGTGTGTGCATAAAACCGTCCTCGCCATATTGCTATTTAATATCTTGAGATATCGTTCTCCTCGGAGGCAATTCTAGTCCCGATCGTTTTATTAAAGAAACTTGGGGCTTATTGGCTTCGGAAGTTTTAGGTCAAACTACTTCGGTAATTCAGCAACTTTCCTTTGAAATTTTATTTCTTGCCGAATTTCACTTAAAATGAAATATTTTTAAAAGTCATGCATCTAAAAATTGTACCATAACGTAAACAAGAATCTCATTTCAACAAAGTAATAGCAAAATTCACATAAACGCTAAAGAAATTTTTCAATGAGATAAATGCAGATATTTTGCATCACTCAGAAACATGTTATTTTCACAGAAGTATAGAAATTAATCAGTTTTACTTTTAAAATAGGGTAATTTCACTGAAAATCCTCTCGTAATCCCTAGATCGAGATAAAGGATATCCCTTTTCCTTCAACGTTAGGGCCTTTTGGCACGCGATCAAAAAGAGTCATATTTTAATTCAAATAAATTCTAAACGCTTGAAAGTGGCAAGCGTTTTTCGCAGTCCGGTCTTCCAGCGAGGTTTTTCGATAAATCGACTAATATGCGAACAAAAAATAAGAATCACCTTAAGGAATCGGTCAATCTTCTTAAAGAAAGCTAATATTGTCATCTGTCGCATCTAAATAGAATTTATTAAGACCAAAGAAACTTCCTTTAATCTAAATCACGTATACTTAGCAGTAATAATCGATTCTGTTTTCTATTTTGATGGCTAATTTATTTGAAGTAAGAAAATTCTTCTACTTTCACTTATTACTAAAGCGCTGTTCTCATCTGAATGTATGTACGTCCCGAAACCAACCTGACGCGATTTCGACGGCTTTCGGCCCCTAAATCGAAAATCCCTGAAACATGTCCCCCCATAAATCGACTCCGAGGATCACATAAAAACTCTAAGATGAAAAAAATTGCGATCGCATGATCGAGTTTCGGGGATCGGTGATTAAAATGATCAGGAGGCGAATAACGAGTCCAAGATGGCGGTCAGTGACCGCGCCGACCCTCTAGTATAATATTATGGCTCTAAGAAAATGGTACCACGTCCGATGTGACATTATTCTTAATCTTTACAGGTACCCGTGGAGAGAAGGACATTACCAACAGACTTGCCAGGACCATCGAGACGACGGCCATTCTCAAAAAGACACTCTCCTTCTGCGGAAGCATGCTCCTCGGGCGGAAGTGGCGGCGGCGTCATCGGTAGTGTTGCAGCGAGCTCCGGGATGCAAACGTCTTGTTCACTTCCGGAAACGCCGGTCTTTGCTCGAGGCAGCGACATACCCCGAACGCCTCAACACGCCGGAAATCCTACGCAGACTCGACGACAGCCTGGATGGTACGCTCCCACTACAGTTACCACTGGGTAAGAGTATTTCAGGTCTGCTGAATCGTCTGGAATTGGTATTCTCATGGTAGGACATCCTGAAGAGGAACCGCTGGTCGCCCACCTGGAAAAGTGTTTCCGATTAAACAGCGACGTCGGTTATTTTTATAGAAAAATATTCATCTTTACTTTGCGAACATAGGCTTTAATACATATATTCGAAGCTAAAACATACACGTACCGAGTCAAAATGTGCCGCGAGACAAGAGCTAAAATACGGCAAGTGAATCATCATAAGTACGATTAATGTAATACGTGACTTCGATACACCTAGGAAGATGCACTATTAAGATGAAACGAAACCCCTCTCAAATCAATCGATTTGAATAAGACAGTTTTTTTAAGGATATTGGATAGAACTGTCTGAAACGTTGACACATGACTCTTGAGTACCTAGGAATTATCCCGACACTTTGTAAATTTGGATTTAAAAAAAAATTTGTTAACTTAGCCCAGGTAAGAACAAAAATGGCGTCGGGGTCACATATTTCGATCTGTCGTTTTCGTACAATAATTATAAAGAAATCGAAGTAAAACTCCAGATATCCCCTGGATTCATGGTTTCTAAGGCCGTAATTGACTGCAGAAGGACCCCCTGCGCCATCTGTGATTTTCGTGTCAATTAAATTTTTGCTCCGAGACCTCGTATTGCCATCGTTTTAGCATAGAAGCGCATAAGATACTTTTTTTGCCTTTATCCCGTTCAAATGCGAGTTTCTCGATTACTAGACTGTTCTAAATTGTCGTACTATTGTCCTGACACTTTCATTTCTCATATTAGAGCCTTCAATAATTGGATATTGATCGAAATATGAAAGCTCGATTTTGATTCTGGTCTGGGCTAAGTTAAAGAATCTTTTCAAAGAACCCAAATTTTGAAAGCGACAAAGTATCAGACGGTTCTATCCAATACCTTTGAAAAAAAAAGAAAGGTGCATTCGAAAGCATTCAAATCGACTGATTTGAGGGGGGTTTCATTTAACCTTAAGCATATTCTATAAAATTGCATTATCGGTTGCGAGGTTTTACAATATCAAGCCATTTCCTCGTGTAAATTTTTCTTTTGTAAATAAAAATGCATTTATTCTTATCAATTGTTCATTGGGTAACATTCGCATACTATCACAAGGTCAACTCGAATGAGCCTGGTACACGTTATACCTCGCTTTGGGAATACCCATGTCAGATCGTTTCCATCCTTTCTCTAAAGGTCGCCGGATCCTCGATTGTAAATTGGCTTCCTCTGTTTGCAAGGTACCGTCGAAACAATCCAGGCCTAGAGCAAGCTATAATCGGCACGGAGCTCCTGCGACTGGCAGGTGGTCCCAACAGGGGATGGTATCCCACAAGAAAAGCAAATCAGCCAAGACCGGCCTCGATCGAGCATCTGGAGCGTCTCAATAATGCTTACGACGCCAGACTGCCCTGCTCCGGGGACCAGAGGAAACCTCTGACTCTTCCCACGAACATCACGCCCAACAAATACTTCGGCCAAAGTAAGCACAGCTCCTCCTCCAGCACTCGCGAGGCGCTACGGAGGGTCACTAGCTTGCTCATCAAGAAAGGTAAGCGCCGGGATTTGCGCTATTCCAACCCCACGCTAAACCGAGACTCCGTCGAGACTCGAAAATCCGATGACTCGGCGACTACCCCGGAACGGAAGCACCGCTGGAACTTGAAGTCTGTGTTTCGAGGTTGTCACTTTGCATTCTTCAAATGGTGAACTAGTCGTTAGCATCGCATTAATGGACGAGACCTGGAAAGTGCAAAAGGCTGCAAATTTTCCCTGTAAATTGAAGTAACGAGGGACAACCCCATTACCGTGCACACGTCGCACCCACTTAGCGTAATTGTTCAACTCGTGAAATTGACATGCAGCTCGTGCACTGGAACCTCCTCGTGTAATTTTAGTTTGCTCTTCGTCGCTGACACTTTGTCTACTTTGTGAAATGAAACATGTATTCCTTCAATTTTTTTTTTTCCAATTATATCAGAAAGTGTAAGCGTAATTATCATTTTAATTACTCGTAATCCATAGGAACGAGGTCTAATATACCAACGTTAACAAAAATTGATAGGAGAACGTAAGTACGAAACGAGTCTTTGTACTTAAAATGAAGTATAACCTCATGACAGAAGGTGTGTGGTTAAATTAAATGGAACAAATGAATTCTGTTATGATAAGTAAACACGGTATGAAAGTTTTAGATAACAAATATTAAAATCATATTAGAACGTAATCAACATTCGGTCTTACTTGTTAACACGAAGAAGCCACCCACTTCTATAAAACCTTTTGTTTTTCATATAATTATATTTTCATGATTTACATTATCATGAATTTCTTTGCCCGTTGGAAGTAATGTCCACTATTTTGTATAGTTCAAAAAGTGTAAATGTTGTAAGGGATAAAGACATCATTACGGTTCGTGATGTAGATCAAAGAAATATCCTACTTATGGAAAAGAAGCTAATATCGCACTATCTGGTTCCAGCCATGAACTACATGTTAATTTCAAGCGCTAAACAATTACCCTGAGTTAGTATGACACGAAACGTATTACTCCTATATTGCTAGTTGAGCCTGAGAAATGGTCCGATCATGATAGGTACTGAGAAATGCCAAAGAGACAAAATACATTCGCACTTGGCTTTGATGATATTATCTGCACATATATTTACCAGCAAATATTCATGTGCGAAGAGCCTGATAAAGTATGTACTTCTGTTTCAAATAGCTCGATAAATGTGCTTCGATCGGTAAATAAATGTGAGAATTTTGATGCCTATGCATTTCTATTTCCATTTCTTGTAATATGATAAATAGATACAAGATCCTTATTCTGGGATCAATTAAATAGTTTCACCTTGAGCCTGTGTAAAAACAACTTCCGATCTACTCTTCTATCTCCTGTGTTATATAGCTATCCTTTACCTTAAAGGTCGACTAGCAATATTGGCATATTACATACACACTGTGGTAAACGGTACTTAATTGTGGTCTAATGTCGCTGCACAGTTTATTTTATTGAACACTTGTATATAACTACTATAAGCTTACATCTAGAGTGATGTATTATTACAAATAATAATATAACGTTTCAATCTAAATAAATAGAATTGTCTTTATTGAACTATTTGTATATGAATATTCAGCAAATACGTATAATGTCACAGTATTTTGAATGCAACACTTATTTCAATGCAACTTCGAAACCAAACTCACGTCTTAGCAATGCCGATGTTCTGCAAGTCGTTGGGAAAATAGGATTTATCAAATGATGATGATTTTAGCACGTTTAAACTATTTCAAAGACTTTAAAATAATATAGAAAATAATAAGCTTATAAAAGAAAGCAGGCACCTTTCTGTACTTTCATTTATTTATACTTTTTTCTGTTCAATTTTGAATCTAACCTAAACACTTGATATTCATTAAGTAACATATATTTCAATTGTAAAGCTAAAATTTAACTACATATTAAATAAGTCATTAGAGAATAAATGTGATGATCATAGTTCTTAACAAGTTGTACTTCATCTTATATAAAAATATTCATAATAGTTTCTTAACATATTGCTATTCATAAATATATTTCTATAGCATATGTCGTGCAATCACGATCACCTCATCATTTGAATAAATCTTTCTCATCAGAGTTCATTGGCAATTTGATTCTATCAAAATCTATAACTTTCGGTACATACATTTTAACATAATTTCTTCTATTGTATCCTATGTGACCTTTCGTGGCATATAACTAATAATAGATTAACTATCTATACTAACAAGTGTAGCAAACCTCCTCCAGTACTACGGTAGATATGAGATATTTTCTATTATTCCATTTTCTTTAGAATCCTATAATTTTCTGTTTAATCAATTCTGAAGGAATACTTCTGAATGTTTATACTAATTTCCTTGCCTGCTTCTGTGTCCCAAATTTCACCCAAAACTGTAAGAATATTTTAATCTTTTATCATAACACATAAAATGCTAACGTTTATGTTACACCTGACATTTTATTCTAACTTATTTATATATTTTCATACGAAACCGAATCTATTTTGTATTCTTGTTATTGAATGATTGAACCGGTGACTATCTCTCGTCAAGTGCATGCTAAATGTTATAAATGTTCTTTAACATTGATACTAGATGATACAAGTATTGATTAAATACATCAAATGAACGCAAACACAACAGTACTACTTATTGTTACCAACGGATAATCCTTGAGTGTAATTAAAACAAAACATTCACAAAAACACTTCACATTGAATTTTCAATTATTCAAATTCTTCTCTTAGGAGTAACACTTCGAGTAGAACCTTAGAAACATATTCAACGGGACATTTTTTTAACTAGTCGGTAACATTGTGGCGCCATCTCTCAACATTTTCTATACCATATCCATTTTGATCTTTACCACAATCATTACACTTCGAGAAGAAGCTACATTTTATCTTAAATTTCCTATTACCATTGAAATACTATTAACAAACCGGATTCGATAGTAAAGATCATTATTTACAAAATAATGAGTAACAGTACATCGATTATACGTCCTTAATGTTAGTACTTGGGTCAACTCATCGATGGCAGCACCATCGAAAGGCGACTCTGCCGAGTACTCGCTGCTATCACATATTCGTCACGGCTCGGTACGTGGCGCCATCTAGCGCCACTCGCCGGTATTTGTTTGACCGAATGTGACCGACCTTGAAAACATGACGGGGGACAAGGCCTTGATCGTGTTACACGATGCGGTACGATTCACTCCTAACCTCATATTCGGACGGTTCTTTGTACCGTTTTCCTCTTCCGACTAAGCTAGCCCGTTATAACGCATACTTTCATGAATTCCAGTAAATACCTTGCGTGCTAGTCATTATATTTCCGGACCGTTCGCCATTCTTTCAGCGGACCGCATCGTGTAAACAGGATTCCGGTCCCTACCGTCGCATAGCGACGGATGACGAACCGGTATCGAGTGGAAAGTAAATGTGGATATATTCACGAAAAGATGCACCATAGATGGTCGTACTGATGACACATTCGGGATTTTCTATTTTTTACAAATACTAAATATGAAGCTCATCGAGTCATATACTTCCTATATTTTAAAATTATTCAAAAATGTTTATCTCCATTAGCCGTAGTCTTTCTATTTTGCACATATCGAGTCCATTTTTTATTTTTGATTAAATGCACTCTGCTCATCCTGTAAAAACGTGGTCTTTACGCGGATTTGAAAAATGTTAAGTGACAAATTGTGAAAATTCGTCCAAAATTCGAGTTGAACCGAATTTGAACATTGTCGATACATGATTCTAAACAAAAGATGCCGTACCTTGCCGTGACTAGTTTCATAATACCTTTAATTGTTCTTGAGTATCGGTTGTCCTCTTGCCAAGTATTTCTATTCACCATAATGCTCGCTTTGTGACATTTCGCGAATGCCCTTTGAGATGTTGCCTTTATTTTCACGAAATAGCCGTCTCTCGTTACTTATGTAGCCGAATGATTACATGGATGGTGTATATAAGCGTAGGCTATCGGTTAAACCAAAAGAAATAAATCACTAACTGTCAAGAAAAAAATAGAAACCTACAGCAGCGATTTAAAGGTGGGCTGCAGTCATCTTTCATTTCTATTGAAAATAGACATTTTCATTCAAGATTTCTAAAAATATTTCTCTTAAACCATATTTTCCAAACTTTCTTAAATGTTCCATGGTTTAGCCCAAACCATCCTCGGTTTAGGGAAAATATCCAGATTCACTCCGTAATCGTAGCGACTCCGAATAAATCGATTTAGAAATAAAAATAAGTTATGTCAATTCAAAAAAGTGCATTCAATTATCATCATCTAGTATCTAGTAGTCATGTCTAGTAGTCTTCAGTAGTAGTAATGTCTAGTAGTAATCATCTAGTAGTAGCATCATCGAGGTACTCATCAATTTGGATTTACTATTTTTAGCAAATAATTTCTTTGAATTCAATCATCCTGCTACCTTAATTCCACCGGTCGACCGTTAGATACTTATTTTACCACTATTATAATAATGAATTATAATAAATGCAATTGAAAATCTCTCACTTTCTTTCATTTTCATGATTTACATTATCATGAATTTCTTTGCCCGTTGGAAGTAATGTCCACTATTTTGTATAGTTCAAAAAGTGTAAATGTTGTAAGGGATAAAGACATCATTACGGTTCGTGATGTAGATCAAAGAAATATCCTACTTATGGAAAAGAAGCTAATATCGCACTATCTGGTTCCAGCCATGAACTACATGTTAATTTCAAGCGCTAAACAATTACCCTGAGTTAGTATGACACGAAACGTATTACTCCTATATTGCTAGTTGAGCCTGAGAAATGGTCCGATCATGATAGGTACTGAGAAATGCCAAAGAGACAAAATACATTCGCACTTGGCTTTGATGATATTATCTGCACATATATTTACCAGCAAATATTCATGTGCGAAGAGCCTGATAAAGTATGTACTTCTGTTTCAAATAGCTCGATAAATGTGCTTCGATCGGTAAATAAA